TGGAGGTCCGAGGTCCGTTCTCTCTTGTACTGTGTGGGTGGGTTCCAGGCTTGGCAGCAGGTACTTTCACCCACTGAGCCTTCTCCACAATCCCAAGGTTACTGAGCTCAGTTGACTTTGTTTTCAGTTTTAAAATCTAGCAATTTTCCAGGGGGCCAACCAAAGGTGTTTGGTACAGGCGGAAAGGGCCTTGAAATCAAGCAGATATAATAAAATGTAAATAAATCTGTCATTTCAAAGTCATTTCCTTCATGGCCAAGAAAGGAAAACAGAGTAAAAATCTAATCGACAGCTTCATGTCATCAACTCCTTCCTTCACATCAAGTCATTCCTTCCCTTGTTTTCTCAGGAGAAGGATCTCACTGATATTCCCTAGTTAGCCTAGAGCTCACGAAATAGGCTAGGCTAGACCACAGCTTGTAGCAATTCTCCTGCCTCAGAGTCCAAGGCTAGGCTTATAGATATGAACGACTCGTAGCTAGGTTACCTGCTTGTGTGAGGATTAGGCCAGAGGAGCTTCAGTGTCCGCTTGTAAAAGCTGGCTTGTTTGGGATAGGATGGAGTTCCAGCTCTTTTTCTAATTCAGATTTTTCAGCAGGTCAAACCAATAGCTGAGTTTCAGATGTATGTGAATGACTCCATGTAGGTTGCCAGCCTGGAATTTTGGGGAGTAGGGGAGTGCTGAGTCCAAACAGTTTCCTTCTGTAATTTTTATTTAGCACTTGTTTATGAAAGTGTCCTTGTGAAATTTGAACATGGCCTCCTATTGTTGATTACTCTGGTTTATTTATTTTCAACCTCCTCTCCCCTGGGGGTTTAGCTCAGAGCCTTGCACAAGTTACACAAGCTTCTTACCTTGGAGTTAGACCAGCCCTTTGTTTGGTTTTGGTTATGATATCTGGTTAGGGAAGGAAAAAGAAGGAGTGAGTGCTAGCATTCTGTGTCTAGGATGGGCAAGGCTTGTGGTAGGCACAGTAGTTCAGTTGAGTTTCTCCACATATCTGGACATCCATCTGTGGTGGTGGGGCGGGGGCATTGGTGGCTACACGGGATGTCCTTCCTTCTTCCTTCCTTTTGTCTCCTATCTCCATCGCCAGGGCAGCTGTAAGGGAAGCTTGGGTTTAAGCAGATCTTGATATCAGGAAGATGAGTACAATTTATACACATGCCTGGAAAAGCATTGCAGTGTGAGCAGGAAAGCATTGCTGTGTTCGTGATGGTAGGAAATGGAAGTCAGGCATGGTGGCCAGACTCAGCTGTAAAGAGTCTGAGGCAGAAGGTTCAGAAGTTTCAGATCAGCCTGGGCTACATAGTAAATTGCAGATTATCGTGGACTATAAGACAAGACTTTGTCTCTCAACCACCTATCCTTTTTTTTTCTTTTTTGTTAAAGATGTGAACTAGGTAAAGAAAACCAATTCCTCCTCTCCCTCCTCTCCTACCCCCACTTCCCATCATCCCAGGGAAGTGCTGTGCTCCTGAGCTGGAGCTTTCCTGACTCCTTTTCCCCCAACCCCAGGTCTGAATTTCCATTGCTGCTTAAATGAATGCAATCCTTCCAACTCGTACTCTCTTTTTATCTTAGCCCAAAACTGCTCTTAAAACATTGTGCTGAATTCTCATAACTCTATACTTTTTTCCTGTTGTTTTGACACTTTGCCAACAGAAGCTCTGAAATGGCAAAACTTTCTAGATAACTTGAAGAATGTTCGGGAATCTCTGGCTGTGCTTTTAAGAGTCAGTCACTTTCAGTTGCAGGTGCTTATCAAGATTAAACCAAATATGAGGGGGCTCTTCCTCTTGGAGCTTGACATCCATTGACTGGGTCAGTTCTGGATTACCGGTATAGAAGTAATGCCCTCTAGATTTTATGTAGTTTGTTCTGGCTGCACAGTGTTTCCCACTGTTGCTGAATTCTTTAACTGCTGCATGCACAAGAAATTGCCTGGATATAGTCTTCTCATTCCTTCTGTCTAGCCTCTGCCTGGACAGCCACTCATCCTGACATCTCTGGCACTTTAGGCGATCTAGAGTCTTGTGTAACTTTCTGGAAGCTCACATCCATAAAAATAGGAGCTAGTCTCTCATCCTTCTTTTCTTTCTTTCTTTCTTTCATTTATTTATTTATTTATTTATTTATTTATTTTTCTGCAAACTAAGTAGAAAAGGCTATAGCTCTGTTGGTAGAGTGCTTGCCTGGAATGCATGAGGACCTGGGTTCAGTCTCCAGAACCACAGAAACTGGGTGTGGGGCACATTCCTGTAATCCTAAGATTCAGGAAGTGGAAGCTGGAGGGTCAGAAAGTTTAAGGTGATCCTCGGATACATGCTGAGTTTGAGGCTAGCCTGGGCTTCATAAGACCCTGCCTCAAAGCAAGAATCAAAGTAGAGATAAACATCTGTAACTACGTCTGTGTATGTATACACTGCCCCATCTTTTGCTTTTCTCGTTAATGGAAAACTAGGGAAAGAAATCTCTGTGACATCGTGTTTACAGCTGTCTGGTGTACCTAGTTTAGAAGTCATACTCTTAGTTTCTTTGTTAAATGACTTACCCTCAGTTTTTAGTTTGTTTTAATTAGTTGTGTTGATCCAATCATTCTATTCTTAAGATTTACTTTTATTAACTTTAAATTATGTGTCTGTGTGTCCACGTGTGCTCGTATGCCTGAGGAGGCCAACAGAGGCACTGGATTCTTCCAAAGCTGGAGTTACAGATAGTTTTGAGCCACCCAGCGTAGTTGCTAGGAACAGAAGAAGAGTAGCATGTGCAATTAATCCCTCACAGAGCTAGCACTCCATCCCCCATTAGACCGTTCTTAAAGATACTACAACAAACGGGCTTATATATACTCCTTAAATACATAAAATATTTTGTTTTGTTTTGTTTTGTTTTGTTGAGGCAGGCTCTCATTCTGTAGTGCAGGCTCTTTTGAAACTCAAAACAGGCAAATTTTCATGCCTCAACTCCCAGGATCCTAGCATTACAGACATCTCCAGACATGAACCCCATATCTGGCTCAGGGTCTGCCTTCCTTCCTTCCTTCCTTCCTTCCTTCCTTCCTTCCTTCCTTCCTCCCTCCCTCCCTCCCTCCCTCCCTCCCTCCCTCCTTCCCTTCCCTTCCCTTCCCTTCCCTTCCCTTCCCTTCCCTTCCCTTCCCTTCCCTTCCCTCCTTCTTCTTCTCATTTTCCTCCTCCTCCTCCTCCTCTTCCTCCTCTTTTTCTGTGTCCTAGAACTCATTATGTAGACAAGGCTGACTTTGAACTCACAGAGATAACCTGCCTCCGCTTCTTTGGCACTAGATGACATTCGCCAGCACACTTGGCTACTTGTAGTTTCAACACAAGTTCTCCAAAACTCTTTAAAATGCTGCAGAAGACCCCCTCCCCACTCTGCCTCCTGGCAAGTGTCTTCTGTCCTCTGATGGGTCAGGCTTCAGCTGCAGTACGGGGGGCTTGCTTGGGCACCTGCAAGCACCCCAGACTCTATTTCACCAAGAAAGTCTCTTGGCAACATTTTGAGTTGGGAAATCTATGGTTTGTCTTTTATGTTTCTTAAAGGATTCATGACATTCAAGGCAGGAAGAAGCTGGAGACTATTCTAACATACTCATTCCCTACAGAGACAGGGAAGCTAAGACCCAGAGAGGCAGGAGGGGGAGCTGCTCCTGAGGGCTGCTCCAGGAAGCAGTCACTCAGAGTCCAATCTGAGCTTCTCCTATCACATCCTGCTGCTCTTGTACTAAGAACTATGCGGGAGTGGATTTTAGGCATTGGGCCAGTAAGTGTCATCTTTAAGCTGAATTTTCTAATAAGGGCAAACAGTTTCCATGTTTTCCTACCATCTACTAGGATAAGCAAACTCCCCAGCCTTTGGAAGTGCACTGGGCTGGAGGACATTTTCATTGTAAACTTTTGTAAAGACAATAGCATCTTTGTTAACTTGCTCTTGTTAGTGGAATTTGTTGCTCTTAAACTCTTACGGATTTTGTCTGCCTTCCTTCCTCCTTCCCTCCGCTCCCTTTCTTCCTTCCTTCCTGATGGGGTTTCTATCTCAGAATGGCCTTCGCTCACTGTGTGGCGCAGGATAACCTTGAACTTCTGAGCCTCTCTCCAAGCTCTGAGATTACAGTCTTGTTTTGCTCTATGATGCTAGGATCAACCCAGAGCTCTGTGTACACCACACAAGCACTTTACCAACCGAGATACACCCCAACCCCCATGTTTGTAGATCATTGGGGAAATTACTGCTTACCAGTTGTTGCCTGGGTGATTTGAGTCATAAATGAGACAGTAACAAGGTTTAGGAAAGACTTTGTGTGCAGTGGTGTGTTCCTTCTACACTTTCCCCTCCACGTCCAGAGTAGAAAACCAGGTGGATCTGCCACCAGGAAAAACAAAAACCAAAAAACTGTTTCTAGATCTCAATAGACACAATTTGACAAGGCTTTGTATAGATAATCTGTAGCACTGAAACAAAAGAAAAATTTTCATAGATGTCTTTTTGTTTCCAAATCAGTCTTGTCTCTTCTCTATCCTCTTCTCTCTTTTCTTTCCCTCTCCCCTGCTTTTCTCTGAGACTGAGTCTCACATGTGGCCCAGACTGGCCTTCAACTTGCAGTTCTGCCTCAGCTCCTGTGTGCTGATATAACAGGTGTGTGCCACCCTTTGGCTAAGATTTCTATAAAGTACCATGTAAAGCATGGTCTATGCCACACATGTCTCTAAACCCTGGAATAGCACTGGTGAGGTACGTGAGTCCCAAAAGCACAACTGAGGCTGAATTCTGCAGAATCCTATGCTGTCTCACTTAATTCTGAGTGGCTGTGAACAGCTGTACCACAGGAACCACCGTCTCTCTGCACCTTGCTTTAGATTTGTGTAGTTGACTTAAAGGAAATTTAATGTGGAAAACATTTCCTCATTGAATATTCAAACACCGAGCCTGCTTTTCATATGTCACATCCTGTGGCCTCATCCTTTTCTCTTCTGTCCCCCAGCATTCCCGTGGTTTGGCATGGATATTGGTGGAACCCTGGTTAAGTTGGTTTACTTTGAACCAAAGGATATCACGGCAGAAGAGGAACAGGAAGAGGTGGAGAACCTGAAGAGCATCCGGAAGTATTTGACTTCTAACACTGCCTATGGCAAAACTGGGATCCGAGACGTCCATCTGGAACTGAAAAACCTGACCATGTGTGGGCGCACAGGGAACCTGCACTTCATCCGCTTCCCTACCTGTGCCATGCACATGTTCATTCAGATGGGCAGCGAGAAGAACTTCTCCAGCCTCCACACCACCCTCTGTGCCACGGGAGGTGGGGCTTTCAAGTTTGAGGAGGACTTCAGAATGGTAGGTTGGGCTTGCCCTTCTTAGAACAGACAGGTCTCTCGTGTGATCACAGTCTGGTCATCTTATGCTAAGACCTGGACCATTAACCTTGGGACTTGGACAAGTCTGTGCCATGGTTTCCTCGTCCATAAAATAACAAATATATGACCTATTTCGTAGGGTGGTTCCAAGAAAGGTTAAATGAGGAAGTACATCCCTACTCTTACTGAGTTACTCAGCGTCTGTTATCACTCTGTAGCACAGGCTGGCTCTGAATTCAGTATGTAGCCAAAGATAACCGAAACGAAAGGTTCTTTAATTAAAAAAATTGAAATTTAATTAAAATTTAAAGGTTTCTCCTGGGGTGACAGTCATATGCTGCCATGATGAGTATTTATATGGTTCTGGCATTGGACAGTTACTCCTATGTCCTATGTAGAGACAGAATGATATAATCACCTCCAGAGGCAGTTACCTCAATTAGTATTGGGTTTTCCCTAGACACTGAATACATAAGCCTGAGTCCAGTTCTGTGGATACATAGACTGAGGCCCACAGGAAGACTCTCTACAGATCTAACCAAGAATGAGTACCTTTTCCTATCTATTTGTTGTCATACATGTCTCAGTTTTGTGACCACCATTCAGAAATTTCTCTTAACAAAAATAAAATATTTGGCTGGTCATGCTAGCTCATGCCTGTGGTCCTAATGCTTGGGAGTCAGAGGCTAAAGGACCAAGGCTAGCACTCTGTCACAAAAGAGACAAAGCCAGAACCAACTCCACTATTATTTCTAGGTGGGTTCCTCCATTATTGAGTAGTGTTTTAAAGTGTAGAGTGCTTATTGTCAAATATGGAGACATGACATTCAGCCCACCTTCTCTCTATTCAGCAATCCTTTAACATCTGTCTTCTAATCTCTCCATCTCCTCAGTCAAGACAGTGATCTCTCTACTGTCCAGCTTCATCTTGTGGGTAAAGAGAGCATAAAATTGAAGAACAGGTGTAGGTCTATCACTGAAAGTATAGGCAGTTGAATAAGTGCATGGACACAGGTGAAGGAAACGTTGGAAGGTTTTAGGATTGCTCGCTCTTTTTCACAGTTGAAGACCCAGTGAGATGTGTTGTAGGATGTGTTGTTTCAAAGCCTGTCATACTGCTTTTTGTCCCAGACAAATGTAACTTAATCTTGGAAGGAAATCTGTCACCCTTGCATAATGAAAGAATACGTTATTCATGGTGTTTAATAAAGCTGTAAGATGCAAACTGTGTCACCAAAAGGAACACCATTCACTTCACTGATTTCAGTGAGTAATTTTAGGGAGTGGGTGGGCTGCTGGTAATAAAACCAGGCCCAGGCTTGTGGTGCGTGCACTGTACAAACTGACCCTTGAGTAGGTGCTCGCTAGAGGAGCTGGTTGCTGTCCTTCAGCATCAGATTATCCAGCGTATCCTGGGTGAGACTGATTAGCTCCTGGTTTTACCCATTTCCTTTTGAGTCACGCTTCCCCATACAGCTATAGAATTTGATACAACTGTTTACTAAATTGATGTGGGGTCCCTTCTCCCCCAAAGGACTCAGCAACCAATCAGTTTACACATGCAGAACGGTTAAGGAACATAGACGTGAGAATTAGACTTGAGTCCATAGTGGGGATGGTGGAAACCAAACCTGAATTCCAGTCCTGTTTCTGTGTTTGCCTGCTTGGTGGCTTTGCTGAGACAATGTCATCATCTGCAGAACAGTGGCAGAAGTGTGGGGAGATGGGGAAGGGCATCCAAGGCAAAAGAACTAGAAGTGATCATAACATTCTTGCACTGTGAGAAGACACTAAAGCTCTCAGGCCCTTTAGATGCTTTTGTGTAGTAATGCCTGCTGGGTAAGATCTGGGCTTGGACTCTGTTTTAATTCCAAAGAGAGCTGACTTTGTGTGGGAATGTGGTAATTTCCTCAAGCCTGCAAGTGCATGCTATCCTGTCTGTACACTGGAGATCCTGAAATGAACCAAGATGACCTGGTGGATTTATGCAACTTCTGTCACACCTCCATCCTTCCGCAGGGTTTACTCATGTCCCAGGAGAAAGAGTTACACAATCTGTGTTGGCCATGGGCAAGTGTGTTTCTTAAGGTTCTGAATGGAGAAAGGTTGTATAGTCCTTCAGGCAGTGCTTGGAGCCTAATGAGTAGAGCAGAGCAAGGGGCAAGTCTGGAGTATTTGCTAAGCTCTTTGACCAAGCTGTTTCTATCAATATTGGAACCAGTTTCTGTCATAGGTGTTGGCCAATGTAAAGACAAAATTGAGAAAGATTTCTTTCTGTGTCCTGTTAGAATAAATGATGTGCTTGTAGCTAAAGTTTGGAAGAATGGCTAGGCTCTCCTGTCTTCTTTCTGTGTGCAGCTATTCACCCACTCAGCAAATAATTTATCATGCCCCTTCTATGTGCCAAGTAGTATTATGTACAAAACAAATACGTTGACCAATTTGGTGGTCAATGATCAGATAAACAAGTGAATATGCATTGTGTGAGTGTGTGTGTGTCTCGTGTGTGTGACTGTGTGTGTATGTGTGTGTCTGTGTTTGTGTATATACATGTGTCTGTGTGTATATGTGTGAATGTGTATGTATGGTGTGTGTTTGTGTGTGTGTCTGTGTGAGTGTGTCTGTGTATGTGAGTGTGTCTATGTGAGTGTGTCTGTCTGTGTGAATGTGTGTGAATGTGAGTGTGTATGTCTCTGTGTGTGTCTGTGTGTGTGCACATGTTTGTATCATGAAGGAGAAATAGGGACAAAGTAAGAGGGATAGGAAGTGTCGGGAGAATCTCTCTGTGATGAGGTAACACTGAAATAGAAACCTGGAGAAGTAATAAATACTTCAGTCAAATAAATATTTAAGTAACTGTTAAGGCACATAGGTATCCAGACTCCAAACTCCTGGATGTTGTAGATTAGAAAGTTGAAGATTTAGGAAGGGTTAAGAGCTACTCTAAAGCAGTGGTTCTTAACCTGTGGGTTGTGACTCCTCTTAGTGGGTTCAGATGTCTACATTACAACTCATAACAGTAGCAAAATTACAGTTATGAAGTTTCAAAGAAATAGTTTTATGCCTAGAGGTCACCACAACATGAAGAACTGTATTAGAGGGCTGCAGCGTTAGGAAGGTTGAGAACCCCTGCTCTAGGTGCTACAGGGATGGCTCATCTGTTAAGCATGCTTGCAACTCAGTCATGAGAACCAGAGTTTGGATACAGGTACCCGCACTGGGAAGTATACAACCACCTGTAACTCCATGTCTAGGAGTAAATCCAACACCCTCTCCTGGCCACCTGATGTACACACACACACACACACACACACACACACACACAGAGAGAGAGAGAGAGAGAGAGAGAGAGAGAGAGAGAGAGAGAGAGAGAGAGAGAAAGCAAAAAGGAATATATTTGCCTCTCCCTATTAAACGGTTTGACCAGCCACAAAGCACATGTGTGTGAAGTCATGAGATTGTGTAGAGTCACTACTTTTGGAGTTTGAGAACTCCATTACTATAGCTTAAAAAAAGCTTTTTGCCAGACTCTGAATAGTTAGCAGTTGTTAGTTGTGACAACTGTATCCTAGATATGTACAGTAAATGCACTTAAATTTTTAGGAAGTGTTAAATGCTACTCCGATTTAGAATATCAAAAAAAGGCTATACTTGATGAGATAGTCATTAAGTTAGACTCTTCTATACAGTATTTTAAATCAAGTAGGCTCTATTTCAGTTTTATTATTTCTTTCTCAGAGAGTCTCTTTCTTCAACTTTAATTAAAAAGTTTTGTTTTACCATCTCTCCAGCCCCGACTTTTTAAAAATATTTTCTATTGAACATATTAAGATTATTGTCCTAACCAAACTCCTTATTTGAGACAGGATCTTACAGTGTCACCCTAACTCCTGATCCTCCTGCCTCTGCCTTTCAGGTGCTCAGATTATAAGCAGGCATCACTATCGCTGACCTAAAGTCAATTTATAATTGGTATATGTTAGTTTTCAAAGTTAATGATGTAGTAAGCTGGAACACAGATACCTAAGCTAATGTAAGCTGTGGACTGGTGAGATGGCTCAGTGGGTAAAGATGCTTGCCTGAGTTCAGGCTCCCGTCCCCTCATGGCGGAAGGAGAGAGCCAACTCTCGGAACTTGTCGTTTGATCTCCACACAAGACTCTTACATACACATACCCTCAGTACACAAACAAACAAGCAGACAAATAAGTAAATAAAATTAATGTTAGGTGCTATATGGCACTGATCAGCCAACCAACAATTCCACTGTTTAAACCCGACCCTTCACATGATCCGGTTATTCATAACAACACGAAACAGTGTAGATTATGGTTAATTTTGTAGCAGGATATTTTATCTACCAATTCTAATATTTCATTCACTGCCGTGTTTCATACTTTTCTTAACTTCAACAAGAGTATTAAGAATGCAACATATTCTTAACAACAGAAAATATAGAGGGAAAAAAAGCCCACATTGCTTTCTGTACAGGAGACATGTGGGTTTTGTTTCAGCCCAAGGCTAACATTAGTAGACATTAGAAGATATTCTTTTGATTGTTTTTTTTTAAAAGTAAGATCTATGCTTTGAATAAATAGGATATGATAATGACCTTTGGTTGATGCAATCAGGGAAAAAGATGCTTTCCTTATATGGGTTTCAATGATAAGGCGCGCTGGGAGCTTAGCAGTTCAGAGTGTTCACGGTGCAACCACGATGCACTGAATTCAGCTCCTAGGCACTTCTAAAAGAAAGGCAGGTGCCGGCTGGGCCTGTAACCCCAACCCTGGGTGGGAGGGAGTGCCACAGACAGGAGGCTTGCTGAGGCTGGCTGCCTCTCACCCTACCCAGGAAATGGTGGAGAATGATAGAAGGTACCCAAGCCCTCCTCTATCTAGCCTGCACACACGTTCACAGGCACACACCCCAGCACACACACGTGCATGTATCTCCCTCGTACACAAAGGGAAAAACAAAAAGA